GATTGTATTAGTGACAGAAGGGGGTGAGTCAGGGTCCTCTGGGTTGCTTAAAAGAAGGGATAAAGTCCCCGGTACCAATGGGGGGGGGGGGGGGGGGGAGTCCCTGATGGGCCAGTGCTGGGGACAACTAGATTAAACTGAGAAAACTGGGCATGGTGTCACATGACTGTAAAAACCCAGCATTCAGAAGGCTGAGACAGGAGGGTATCACAAGTTCAAGGCAAGCTTAGACACCTTAGTGAGATCCTGTCTCAAAATTTAAAATAGGTTTTAAAAAGAAAAGGATTAGGACTATAACTCAGTAGTAAGGTGTTTGTGCAGAACACACAAGGGCCTGTGTTTGATCCTCAGTAGAGCAGAAAAGAACATTAGCAATGGCCATCTGTCTGTCACCTATGGTCAGGACCTTCCTTCATGAAGAAGAACCATGATTTCTGTGCTCCAAACATAGACTGGGAAGTTCAGGGTGCTTCAGAGAGCTTGGGGTCACTCAGAGCTGGGACTCAGCAGCCTAACAGTTCAGAAGCTTGTAACCCAAAGCAAGATCTGGGAAGCTCCTTCAAGGCAGAGCCAGTCCCAGCCTGGAGTACACAGAGCCAGTTCCCTACCTGGACATTATTGGGTGACATCGATTCCAGACTCTTGAACTCGCTCACAATGTAGGCTAGCAGGTACGTGGACATCTTGGGTGTGGGTCGGAATTCAGTGACACGCCAGTCAGAATCTTCTGGAAAGTTGCTGCTGAAATCTGGACAGCAAGCACACAAGAGTGTGGGGTTCTTGCCCTGAACCCCAGTCCAGGACAAATCCAGGGCAGCCCTGCTTACCACTGGGAGGCATGTTAGACAGGGCTACGTAGTCCTTAAGGTGGATGAGTGTGATATTGAACGTGGCCTTCATAGCAGGCTCATCAAAGCAGGGGAAGGATTTCCGGGCATCTGCAGCCTGCATCTGCGTTGTGGCCACCACTCTGCACCAAGCAGTATGTTAGAGAGGGTGCTAGGAACACAGCTTTAGGCACAGGGTACAGAGGAAAGGGTACATGGAAAGTCATCTCAGCCTGCTCCCTGCCCTTCACCCAGCTTCCCACAGCCTCAGGACCCTGGTCAGCAAGCTGCCACAGGACACAAGGGCTTCCATGCTTATCTAAGACCCAGTAGGTTTCATACCCATTTGAGCCGGGGGACCTCAGGCAATTTTCTCTCCTCTAAGCTTTAATATTGCTGTCCATTCCCACATCCCTGGGCCGCAGCAAGCAGTACCCCCCGGCAGCTGCTCCCCACCCCTTGGATGAGCAGTGGTTTAACTGAGGTTTCCTGAAGGTTCAAAGTCCCCTCCCATGACCCAGAGATGCAGCCCTGCCTCAGTCAGTGATCACGCTCCTGGAACTTACTTCTTAACGTCGCCCTCCATATACTCGCTGCGGTAAAAGCCAGCCAGGTCATCAGCCAGCTCCCCCTGGAACTCACTGTCCATTTCGTACTGCGCACCCTCCACCAGAAAGCTCTGCAGGTGCACTACCAGGTACTCGGTGCGCTCTACCAGCTCGGTTTTGAGGATGCTGGGTGCCTGAGAGCCATCCAGGGCCCGCAACACCACCCTGTGGCCCTGCTTCTCAGTATAGTTGAGCTTTTTGCTGTGGATGATGATGACATCTGTGGTCTGGTTACAGGTGAAACGGACGGTGCTGGAGCCTGTGAAGATGTACAGGCCCTGATCGTTGGGAGTGAGGAAGGGTCTCAGGGTCACTTTGTAGGAGTCAGGTATCAGGGACCTAGGCAGACGGTACTGGTTCCAAGGTTTGTCTTCATCTACAGTGGTAGTTGCGATGGTTGAAGTGGTGGCTGATGTGCCAGGGACCGTGGGGGCTGTGGCAGAGTTCTCTGCATTCCTGTTCTTCTCCTGGGCATACACCACCGACAGGGCAATGATGGTGCTCACAGCTGCCACACCCAGCAGAATGGCCAGGATGCCCAGAGTCTTGGAAATGTAGAAGCCCTTGGCCATGTTGCTGGTGGGCTGGGAGCTTGGAGTGGCTCAGGCCAGGTGGCAAGCAGAGCAGCCCCGGGCCAGCTTATATCTCTCAGGGGGTGGAGCCCTGCTGCCTTTGGACTGCGCAAATATTAACCCAGGCTCAGGCGAAGGTCACTGGCCTGGGCAGGGACGCTATCTGCCCAGATTCTGGACAGATCCAGAAATGGTGTGCAGGACTGATTCAGGGTGCCTGATGGGAGCAAGCACCGTCTGGTTTCAGGCTGCAGGAGACCTGAGATCCAGGCTGAGCCAAAGCTGAAGGGCAGGTTGCAGTCTGGCACCCAGTGGACAGGGGCAGAGGCCAGGTGGCACTGATCTACCTGTAAGTAGAGATGGTGAGAACAGCAACAGGAGGCTTGAGCTTAGATTCTGGAAAGGACTCTCCAGAAGCAAGAGGTGGGAGAGGCATAGAGCAGAGTAGAGGTGGTTCCCAGGATGCCACCAAAAGCAAGCTGGTTCCACCTTAGGTCTGGGTCCCCAGAAGGATCCCAGGGGTCCCCCAGGGCTGTCTCCAGGTTTTCCCTGCTTTCCATTTTGGTCAACTGCTTTTCCCTCCACATCCCAGGGAAAGTGAAATGGATCATTTTGCTTGCTTACTGCAAACTTGTAATGAGGTAGACCGGGTGACTCTACCTACCAGAAGTTTTCCCTTCATGAATAAATAACAGCATTTCCCACCCAGGTTTGTCCAACAGAGTTAAGGAGAAGATATATGAAACATCCCATAGTAGAACCTTACCTTTTCTTCCCTCCTGGAGAGCAACACACCCTCCTTTCCATCTTAGGTGAAAATGAACACGCTGCTTACCAGCTACATACAAACATTCCCTTCCATTTGTCCTCTCAGACCTCCACACTGGCTGACACCCACCCCAACATCCATCTCATTCCCATCCACCCACAGCCTTTAGCAGACTGCTGCAAACTTGTGGACCCCTTGATTCTGCCAGGGCCCCTCAAACCTATTCATCACCCACTGGACCATTACATGCTGCTGTTTTAAACCTTCCTTTTGTTCTGTAGAACCCAGATCCTATCTTCCTGAGAAATCCACATATCAAGGAGTGGTCAGCTTGTCTACTTTCCACCCTCACCCCCAGCACACTACCCTGTCACATTACTCCAACCTTTAGCTGACCCCTCTACCTCAGGGCCTTTGCACATGCTGCACTACTGCCCAAAAGGACTTTTCTTCCCTCTTTCACTAGTTAAGTCCAATTCATCCTTCAGGTCTTTCTTGGGGATTCAGCCTGCCTTCCTTAACCAGGCCCAGACACTATAAACTGGGCTAGCACCATGCAGCCCTTTTTCAGAACCCTGTACTTTAGCATGAGTTGTAGGTGCCATATCTGGCACCTCGTAGGTACTTGATACGTATTCATTGGGTGGATGCCTACATGCACAATTGGGTAAATGAATGGGTCATTTAGGGAGAGACTCCTTCCTGAAGTTTTCTGACCTCCATCTCCAAAAAGCATCTCAAAAGAACTGTCACCCCTCCTTTGGGCCCTCTTCCAGCCCAGCTGCTCCTCCAGGACCTTATTCACCTGTTACCCAGCCTCCTACAGGTAGGTGTGTTGAGTGAATGTGTGATGGAGGGATGCAGGCTAAACATCCAGGCCTGAATGTGGGTGTGACTAACTACCCTCTAATCTGGCTGGCCATGCCGAGATCTGTACATGGGGTGTCCGGGGACTGTCTGCCTTTCAGATTGAAAAGTCCTTTGTAGTCCCCCACCCTCTAGAGCCCAGCCCCGGGGCTTCAGTCTGGAGCCAAGGTAGCCACTATGACAATAGAGGCCAGCTGGGCCCATCAGGCCTGGGCTAGAGGCCAAGGGGCACTAGTAGGAATCCTGGTGTCAGGGAAATACATGATGACCAGCCTCAGTTTACAGTGACGGGTTGGGGCCCCCAAGGGCTGTGCACAGGCCCTAGGCTTCCTCTATCAGGGGCCACCTTACCAGAGCCAGCAGACTGGCATCCTGGGGGCCATGTGCTCCTCAGCCCCTCATCACACCCCTGACTGGGCCTGCAATCCCCTTCTACCCAACCATCAGGCAGACCCATAAATTCAGTTGGCTAATCCCATCTCCAAACAAAGAGCTAGGCCCTGCCTGGCCTGTTGCAGTCTCTTCCTGTTTGCTTTGGACATGGACCATGGGCCAGCTGGCTGGAATCTGGGCTCTTCTGCAAAGGGGCCCTGGTCTCTGGTGTTGGCTCAGAGCTAGGCATGGTGCTAATCCAGGCTGAGGGTACACAGAGTGGGCTCTGCAGCCCCTAACTTGGGGGGATGCTGATAAAGATCCCTGTCCATAGTCCCTGCCTCTGCACAGGCCTGGCGTCCTCCATACCCCAGCAAGCAGTGGTAGCCACAGGGCCTCCCATCACCCAGCCCCACCAGCATGCTCAGCAGAGGGACCTTCATGGGCACGTGGGCAAGACTCTCCCCCTCAAACTCAGTGCCCAGCTCCTTACTGCCTTTCGGTGAGACTGCAACTCTGGCTTGGGCCTCAAGATCATCCATGAACTTGACCCTCTAGCCACTCCTCCTGGACACTGCCTACTATGGCTCCAGGGGCCAGCATTTCCCCTAGTCCTCTTGGCCTCTCCCTGTCCCCGTGCCTTTGTTCCTTCTGTCCCGTCAGCCAGAAATGTCTTTCCTCTCCCACCTATCAAATTCCTACTCACCCTTCAAAGCCCAGCACAAATGCCACTGTCTTACACTCCACAACACTTACAGCTCAAAACTCTTATCATATCACTAATAAAAAGCCCCTCGTTGCCGGGCATGGTAGTACACACCTTTGTTCCCAGCACTTGGGAGGCAGAGGCAGGCAGAACTCTGTGAGATCAAGGCCAGCCTGGCCTACATGGTGAGTTTTAGGCCAGCCGAGGCTACAGAAAGACCCTGTCTCAAAAAGACCAAATAAAAAAGCCCTTCATTGCATCAGCCTCCACACCAGGCTAGCACCAGCACAAAGCAGGCAGATAACAGCTAAAGGAAGAACTCAGCAAAACTCAGACCCTCAATAATGGGGACAGTCCAGCCCTCAACACTGCACACTGTATCCTGGATTCTCAGACTATGCACATAAACCATCCTTTGCCATCCTCTGGTGTGTTGCTTACTTAATTTTCTTTAAACCAATTCACATAGCCTCCTGAGCACTAAGGAACATGATGTCATGACTGGAAGTGTCAAGTTACATATTTTTTCCTGATACATAATTCACCACATGCCTCAGGTGAGAACCGTTAATCAGGGCAGCCTGAGATTACCCCGTACAGATAGCTGCACTCGGGGAGCCACCTCTCCATCCTGCCTGATTTGGGGTATCACTGTCAGGTACAGGTCCTTCCTGTCGGGGAGCAAGGCTCTTGCAATCCTTCTGCTGCTTCCCCCTGCTGGGACAGGAATCCAGACTTCATCTGACCCATGCTGAGCCAGCTTCAACCTGCGTGTGTGCACATACATCTGTGCGTGCGTGCGTGTGTGTGTGTGTGTGTGTGTGTGTGTGTGAATTGGGGAGAGTTGCCAAGTGTGGTGATGTATACCTTTAGTCCCAGCAATCAGGAGGCAAAAGCAGGCAGATCTCTGTGAGTTCGAGGCCAGCCTGGTCTACATAGCAAGTTCCAGGCCAGCTGGGGCTACAGGGAGACCCTGTCTCAAAAAAGATTTAAAAAAAAAAAAAAAAAAAAAAAAAAAACTGGGGAGAGTTGCTTGTTTTTGAGACTTGGTCTCTCAGGCTGGCCTGAGCTCTCTGTGATCCTCCTGCCTCAGCATCATGAGTGCTAGAAGGTGTGAGGCTACCATATACCTTTTCTTTTTAGCCCAGGATATTTGCACAACAAGGCAAGCAGTCTGTCACTGAGCTACACCCTCAGTGAGGGTGTACATATTCTGCCTTGCCAGTGTTTTAGTCTAGAAGACAAGTTATTCTAAACACAAAACACAAATAAAAGCCATTAAAGCTGACAACAGGGATGCTACATGATTCATACTCAGGACCACATGGGCGGGAGAGCAAGGGAAAGAGCTGCTTGGGCTCAGGTGGGTGACCAACACCTTCTATCCAAGCAGGTGGCCGTTGTTCTGTAAGCTACTGTCTGCCAGTGATCTGGGCTCCATCTTACATGCTGAACTCATGGGCCCCTCTCCCCAGGTCTCATCTAGAGTTCTGCCTAGGCACTGTGGGGCCAGAAAAGTGGGAGCTAGGGAACAACCTGGGGTCCCTCTGTCTGCTCTGAAGTAGGAGTGGGGCAAGGGTGACAGCAGGCCTACTCCCAGGAAGCCTATGTCACAGCTGCTTTGGAAGTAACTGCCAGCCCCCAGGGTGCTTCCTCTGGGAGCCCTGGACACTGTCCATCCTGTGGGAACTGTATTAGACCCCATGGGGAGTGGGCCTATGTGGCCCAGAGCAGGACCTCTGGAGAGCAGGGACAAAGGGGCCTTGAAAGATAAGCAAAGCGCACAAGCCATACAGTCCCACACTTTTTTTTGGAGGAAGTGGCTCTAAAGACCACAAGAGACATAGGTTCATTCTGTCAGACCATGACCAGGAGCTGGGGTGGGGGGCGTGGCATCTGGGAAGTGATACTTGTAAGCTGGAGACCATCAGAGGTTGCTACAAGGCCCTGCCTCCACAGATGTAACTGAGGTCACCATAGGGTCTCCGGTGGCAGGTCTCCAGGATTGGGTCCAGGCTGGGGTGGGCGGCTGCCAATAAATGAGGATTCAGGGCAAGTGGCTGCTCCTCTGGGATTCTACTGGGTTAGCATGCATGTAGTGCTAGGTTCAAACCCCAGTAGCAGAAAAATTATTTTTTTAAAATCCTTGGGTCTGGAGAGAAGACTCAGTAGTTATGAGCACTCTTAACCACTTTTGCAGAGTACCAGGGTTCAGTTTTGAACACTCACATGGTGGCTCACGACCATCTGTAACTCCAGTTCCAGGGGATCATATGCCCTCTTCTGGCCTCCACAGGCGTTGTATGCAGGGGTACACAACATTCAGGCAAAACACTCATACACAAATAATAAAAATAATGTGCTGGAGGCGGCAGCACGCCTTTAATCCCAGCCCTTGGGAGGCAGAGGCAGGCCGATCTTTGTGAGACCAGCCTGGTCTACCTAGTGAGTTCCAGGACAGCTGGAGCTACAGGGAGACCCTGTCTCAAAAAGACCAAATAATAATAATAACAATAATAAAAAAATAACCTTCTTTATCTCTTCTGTTTAACTTGAAGTCTGTTTTGTCAGATATTAGAACAGCAACTCGAGATTCTTTCTTAAGGATCTCTGTGAGTTTGAGGCCAGCCTGGTCTACATAGCAAGTTCCAGGCCAGCTGGGGCTACAGGGAGACCCTGTCTCAAAAAGATCAAAATTAATAATAAATTTTTTTTAAATCCCACAATTAAATTCATCAAACCCAGAGGCTGGGGCAGAATTGCCAAGATCTCCAGGTCAACCTGGGCTACATAGCTTCTTGGTCAGGACTCCCACTTTCCACTAGAGCCACAGCCCCAATCTCTGTATGTGGGTCCCATTTATGTAGGAACAGGGTCAGCTCCCCTGGAGAAATGTGGCCAATCCTCCTGTGCAGTGGAAACCCCTTGTACTGGCCACCCACCCTGATGCAAGTGGAAAGCCACCTGCTCCAAGCTCCCTTTCACCGGTCAACTAACCCAGGCCCCTAGAGACTCAGGACTGCCACCCCTAGACATCAGGTCTGTCAGCCACAGAGCTTCCTTGTTGCCCTAAATCCCTCAACCCACACCTCACTGATATCCTCAGAGCAGGGCGGGGACTCAAGTCACCAAAGCTCTGGGCACAGCCTACGTGGCTGCAGCTCACAGCCGGGGGTATTGGAGGTGTGCCGCTTGGAAAGACCCTTACCAGAACAAACACGTGTTGCAACCCGGGTTGCAGGAAGGCTTGGCAGCAGGATCTGTGACCCCTGACCTCCTCTGCATCCAGGAGGGATGCCCATGCTGTGCGGGTGGGCGCCAGGAGGACAGGGTAGCAAGAGGGGGTTAAAGTCCAGTTCCCTCTTCCGTGCAGAGGCTGAGGGCGGGATGGGTGGGGAGGCTGGAAGAGGGAACACGGGGAGGGGCGTTCCGACGGCCCCAGACCACAGCGTCCAACCAGGCTGGGTGGGACTGCAGAGCCCAGAGCTGTGGCTTTTGCTCTGCCACTCACAGACCAGCCGGCGATCTCTGTCCCAACTTGCACCATACCCTGTCCACTGAGCCTCAACCACCCTGCGTTCCCGGATTCTGGACACCCTCTGTCCCCTGGGCCCCAGTCACCCTCTGTTTTCCGGGCTGCAGCCACCCCTGTCCTCCAGGCCGGATCATCTATCAAGACCCGAACATCTCTCCATGATCTCCACCCCCGCCCCCCCCCCCAAGCCCAGAGGAGGCCACAAGCAGCTGGCACCCTGTAGGGACCCATTCGGACAGCCTCGGCGGCTCCAGGCCCAGAGGAGGCCACAAGCAGCTGGCACCCTGTAGGGACCCATTCGGACAGCCTCGGCGGCTCCAGGCCCAGAGGAGGCCACAAGCAGCTGGCACCCTGTAGGGACCCATTCGGACAGCCTCTGCGGCTCCAGGCCCTTAGTTTACCCATCTGAGCCAGGGCAGCAGCCGACCTCTCCCACGCCCCAAGTGCTGAGCCGGGTACCCGGCCCTGCGCCCCGAGACGTCCCGCAGCCCCAGCCACCACGCTGCACTCGCCTGCCGCCACGCGCCGGCTCCGAGTAGCTCCCGGCCCGCGCCCGCCTCGCCGCCGCCCGTCTGGTCCGCTCCCTGGCCCGGCGGGTTAAAGGGAAGTAACCCAAGACGACCACCGCTCCGCCCGGATTAGCCCCGGGCTCCGCCTGCGCTCCTCCCCGCAGGCCCCAGGGAGCCGCTCCCCCGACGGCGCGGTCCAACGCTGCGAGCTCCGGACCCTCTCCTCCTGCCCTCTCAGACCCCTACCCCACGCTGCTGCCCCAGGGCCCCGCCGGCCACATCTGGGAGACATCTGCCTGTAGAGGAGGGGCTCTGAGCCTCAGCCTGCAGAGAACCCGCACAATCCTGGAGAACTTTCCCGTTAACTCTCCTCCTCCTTCTCCCCCTCTTCCTCTGCCTCCTGCTCCCCCTCCAATAGGGTCTTACACTGTACAGCCCAGGCTGGCCAGCAACTTACTTTGTAACTCTGTCTGATCTCAAACTTAACAGCAATCCTGCTTCACCTTCCCAAGTGCTGGGATGACCATCATACTCAGCTAACTTTTTTCTTTCTATTTCTTTCATTTTTCTCTCCTCCTTCTCCCCCTCTTCCTCTGCCTCCTGCTCCCCCTCCAATAGGGTCTTACACTGTACAGCCCAGGCTGGCCAGCAACTTACTTTGTAACTCTGTCTGATCTCAAACTTAACAGCAATCCTGCTTCACCTTCCCAAGTGCTGGGATGACCATCATACTCAGCTAACTTTTTTCTTTCTATTTCTTTCATTTTTCTCCCTTCCTATCTTCCTTCCTTCCTTCCTTCCTTCCTTCCTTCCTTCCTTTTCGATATTGTCTCCTTATATAGCCCAAGCTGGCCTGGAGCTCTCTATTTAAATTCATAGAGATCTGCCTGCCTCTGCTTCCAGAGTTCCAGGATTAAAGGTGTGCATCAGCATGCCCAGGTGGAGTTTATATTCTAATGGGTTGTTTTATATTTTAGCAAAGACTTCTGTAAGTACTTTTTTTTAAAAGTGTATATGTGGAAAACATTACTGTCTTAAAGTATCTGCATTTAGTTTCAGTGAGCTCAATTTTGGTTGGGCAAAAATAAAAATGTTTTCTTCTGGAGAAAATGTGATGATTTAAGGCAATCAGTTGTAGTCAATACCTTTTAATTATATCATTTAACAAGTGTAATTATAGGAAAAGCAGAAAACTGTTGATCATAAAGTGCACGAGAAAATTCGTTATGACTTCCATTTAAATGCCATCATTTCCTATTATCAGCCTTCAATAGTTTTCTGCTTATGACAATGTCCATATGTTCTATTATCTGATTATTACCAGTGACAGTCAGTTACACTTAGATCCTTGGCACCTGAGTATGGACATAAAGTCATCAGGTAGATATTAATGGTAATGTTTATCACCTCTACTAATTAACATGAAGTAAATTTTTATGCTTCTTCCTCAAATATAACTCATTTTTTTGTTTGTTGATTTTTTTGTGTGTGTACATCATACAAAACATCCCAAACAATCTGATTACACCCACTTCCCAAATGGCACCTCCCATAGCCCCCCAACTGGAGCCCATATACTTCTGTCATTCCTGTTACTATCCACTGTGTTGTTGGTGCCCCCAGCCATTCCCCAGTGCTTGTTCATCCACTGAGTCTTGTCAGTCTATCTAGAGTTCCTTGTTTTAGGAAGATCAGCTTCATCTAGCAGCAATCAGTTGTCAATATTCCTTTAGATAAGATGGGGTCTGCTGTTCATTTTCCCAGTTCTATGCTGGGTTACTGCCTGGGAGTCTCTTGGGCCACCCTGACCAACAATTCAAAGGAACGCATCTCCTGTCTGGCATTGTTTCTTGTTATGTAGCCTTTAACTATACACATGAACTCTTAAAATTATATTGACCCCTTTAATTTTTGGTTATACAGTTTAAGACCATATATTTGGCCCAGATAAACCAGTTTATTTTTACTCTTAAGGTCATCTGAGGATCTGTTCCTCAGGGGTCACATGGGCTTGGAAGGAGCTCCATGGCACCTTCCTTTTACCAGTTCAATCTATGTGAAGACAAGTCAAAGGTCCTGCTTGATCGTGACTGGCTTCACTTGGAAGCATGGAGGAAATGTTTCCTCTGTGCTGACTCTCCTCTTTGTAGACTGGACACTGGTTCAAGTCCATTTGATGGGTTCTCCATGGCCTCCTGTTCAAGAGGACAGGTGACTCACCACAGTTACAGGACATTTTGAGAGATGCTCATAGTCCCCTTGTGGCCTGAATTCTTTCTGGGTCTCCTGCGTGATCAGACAAACCATATAGTATATTCTATGTGAGCTTATTAACTTACAAAGGAATGAGTACCCAATGCCTAGCCCCACGCCGCCATGACTCAGAGCCCACCTTATCAGACTGTGCCATGCCCATAGCCCTGCTAGCATTCACTCACGCCTCCAGGGCCAGCGATCTCGGCCCAGGTCCATAGGGAATCAGTCCATTCTGTCTTTAAGTTGCTGTACTGGCTGTGAGTTTCCTACACCACCACGCTCTACCAGCAGCTCCTGGCTTCCATCCCAAGATGGCTCCCAGCTTCCCTTCCTACTTCCCACTCATGTCAGGTCCCACATATTGGAGGAACCAGCCAATCAGGAGACACTCAACCCCTTTTCTTCGCTCTTACAATCTTTCTGCCAATCTTCTGCTAAACACCCTGAGCCTTGGAGGGGCTGATAGATGTAGGGTGATCTCTCTTGTATCATGGCGAGATAATGGCATCTTGGGCTTCCTCATTAGTCGTCTTTAGGCCAGGTCCACTGATCTATCTTAGTGGTTTTTTTTCCTACTATAAAGACAAATGGAAGGAAGTAGACACATTTAAACAAACATGAATGTAAATACAAATGCTTAGACGATATCCCAGTAGGTATACTATACTCATTAAACAATATACTTATGATGGCTTCTCCACTAGGGCCTGTAGCCTTTCTCAACAAAAGGCATTGCTTGGTCTTCAGCACCAGATGTGTGTTCCACCCCTAGGAGCGGGTCTTATCCAATTAGAAATTTATCAGTTGTACATATGTGGTCGAGCCATTATTGCACTTGCAGGTATTGCTTGGCATGTCTGTAGCGTGCAGCACATGGGGTCCATTGTTGAGTCTTCTTCCCCCATGCTCACAACATGCAGTGTCCTCAGCAACATGGCCTTACAGACCTTTCTAGTGTACAACTGACATTAATAGCCATAGCCTTGGTGAACTGGAAGACCTCAAGCATCTCTCTCTGACCAAGAGCTCATAGTGGGGCAACCCACCCCTGGTACTGTAGACTTTCTTAACAGTTGTCTATAGCTGACCTTTGCTTCTTCGGGTATCTTTCAAATGGGTTTCACATCTGTATTAAGCTTTCTTTCATATCTCTGGTGAACACAGTCTCATCTGGCCCAGCGAACTGGACATCATATATTGCTTTTCTCATACCTAGTTCAGTAATGCCTGCCCCTCCTTCATAGACCTCCAGGCCCTACTAATCATGTTAGTCTCCCTTGGTGACAACCATGTATCATTAATGCCTTCAACCAGCCACCCCATTAAGGACTGCTCCCCCCTGCATTGGCCTAGGTTGAACAGCCTATATCACAAGGACAGATGGGTGATTATATAACTCAGCTGTAAAACTTCTGAAGGATGTAGACTGACGTCATTTGCTCCCATGTCCCATACTTTCACAAGCCACGTGGCCAGGGGCTCTCTGCTTGCTTGCTTTTAAGTTTTTCCTAGCTTTAACACTTCCAGCATGGAATATTTCCTAGCTTTATTTAGTACAGTTAGCTTTTTCTTCCTTTTAGTATCTTTTTCTCTGAGTCCTTGAACTTTACACAAGTCAAAGTGTCCTGCCTTTCCTCTGTCTCTAGCTCTGCACCTGGGTCAGCCTTTTCAGCTTTTCCCCCCTGGAGCACATCTTTTATCATGCAAAGTGGCTGCTCTGTTTTTCTGGGAGCTCCCTTTGGGTCCAGAGCAGATAAAAGAACTTCTAGCCTTTGAGTAACTTTTAACAAATCTTCACATACCTGCAACATATCCCCACATTTACAACATAGCTGTGGCCCATGCTTCTACATGGCTGGCCTCTTTTTAGTAACCCATTGCAAAACCCACATCAATGTCACCATTAGCGCTCTTCTAAAACTCATTCTCAGTTTCATCATATCCTGCCAACTATGCCAATTCTGTGGCCCAAATTCTCTCTGGGTCTCCTGCGTGATCAGACAAACCATATAATATATTTTATGTGAGTTTCTTAACTTACAAAGGAATGAGTACCCAGTGCCTAGCCCTGCACTGCCACGACTCAGAGCCTCCCTTATCAGACAGTGCCATACCCACAGCCCCACTAGCATTTGCTCATGCCTCCGGGGCCAGTGATCTCGCCCCAGGTCCACAGGGAGTCAGTCCATTCTGTCTTTGAGTTGCTGCGCTGGCTGCGAGGTTCCTACACCACTACGCTCTACCAGTGGCTCCTGGCCTCCATCCCAAGATGGCTCCCAGCTTCCCTTCCTACTTCCCACTCGTGTCAGGCCCTGCCCATTTGAGGAGCCAGCCAATTGGGAGACACCCTTGGAACTTAGTCAACCTAGGAGGGCAAGGAGCAAAAATTGTCCGTTATGTCCCTCTGACCAAATTAGTATAGGCCTCAAAGTATGGCTGTTAAACATCCAAGAAGGTTAGTTCCACCAGTCTGCTACTTTTAATTACCATGTGCTATGTAGATAAAGCTTGGGCAAAGACCGAATGTTCTCAAATAAACCTTGCCTAGACACATATTATATTCCTTGATCTAGTTGTGTGTATAATTTATCAGTAGGTTGTTGGACTAATATGGCTCCCTCTGGTTTTTAAAAACTTCTTAGGCATTATTTATTTCTCGCATTGTCTAACCTTTCCACCACTTCATTCTGATCAAAGA